CATATAACAAATATAACTACTTTGGAATTTGTCTGAATAAACAACTGGCATGATACCAAAATCTGAACAGAGGGTTCTGGAGCAGACTTCTTACAATGAAGAATGTAACATACAACTTAAAACTGGGTTTGAGAATGGACATTGCACAGTGTTAACGTTTGTTTCTGCTGTATGGCATGAAATGCTAACTAACATGCTACTATGAAAAAGGGGGAAAGCATATGAAACAAGAGAGTGATGAGGGATGAAGTGCTAAGAAGAATAAAGACCAAGAAATTATTTAGCTTTTAAGATGTTAAAAGCTAGAACACTTCGATAATGTATTGAGAAAATGGACAGATCATTGCAGCTGATAATTCATGGTAAACTCAGTGTGAAAAGAGTTGGAAAGGGAAAATGACTGAGAGATTGGTTCAAGAGAGGAGAGCTGCTGCATCCTAATTCAACACAGCCACGATCATGTCTGACCTCCAATTTAGTTATGTGCTGTCAAGTTAGAATCTGTATAGCAACCCTAATAGAAGTAAGTGAAAGAAAAATGAGATTAAAAAGAAAAATGAGATTTTAAGGAGTGGTTTTGCCGATTCCGGTGAGTTTCCATGGCTAAGGAGCGATTTGAACCCTAGTCCAACACTCTGTAGGGACGTGGTGCTGCTGCAGGTTAAACCACAAAACCTCTGGGCTGCAAGGTCAAAAGACCAGCAGTTGAAATCCATGAGACAGAGTGAGTTCCTGTCGCTAGTCCCAGCTCCTGCCAACCTAGCAGTTCAAAAACATGTAAACGCAAGTAGATAAATAGGTACCACCACAGTGGGAAGGTAACGGTGTTCCGTATCTAATCACACTGGCCACGTGACCACCGAAACTGTCTTTGGACAAACTCTGGTTCTATGGCTTGGAAGCAGGAATGAGCACCATGCCCTAGAGCACTGGTTCTTATCCTTTGTTACTCAGATGTTTTTGGACTGCACCTCCCAGAAGCCTTCACCACCAGCTCTGCTGGCTGAGGTTTCTGGGAGTTGCAGTTCAAAAACACCTGAGTAACAAAGGTTAAGAACCACTGCCCTAGAGTCAGACACGATTGGACAAATTGTCAAGGGGAACCTTTACCTTTACTATCACTCTATCCACTACACTGCACTGGGGTTCCCTCAGGAGAAAAAGACAAGGAAAGGGACACTATCAATAGATCTATCATTATATATTGCCTGTGTATTCTGTGAAACAAATCCTGTTTATCCTTCAAAAGTCTTTTTCTATCTTTTGTAAAGAAAAAACAACAAGGAATCTTGTGGCACCTGAAGAGAAATAAGTTTTATTTGACATATTCTTTCTGTGGACTGCAGAACACTTCCTCAGATGCATCGCAAAGAGCCCGAAAAACCCACAACAACCAGAAAATCAAAGTCCTAGTCTCTGGTTTTGCAGATTGTGTACAAAGACCCAATGGGGTGAGATGTCCACACAGCTAGGAAACAATTTAGTTCTGAGCTAACAATGCAGCTCTTTCTACTAGTTTTATAGGCTATATCCACCCTTACAGACAATGATAATATAGTCGTGCAAAAACGATAGTCGGTTGAATAATCCGTGGGTCTGGTTCGGAGCATTTGTCCTCTAGCTAGAATTATTTCTGAGGATGCCCTTGCCCCGAAGATCAGTCCCGTGGAACAGCATCCACGATCTCACTCAGTTGTATGATCTCTTCCCGTCCCCCCTCCCCCCCCTTACCCACACCCTGCAGCCTTTCAGCGCGAATTCATTTGGCATCTTCTTTTAAATATTCAAGCTCGGAGTCACTGAAAGGGCATCGCCGCGGAAGCACCACCCAGCCAGGCGCCAGGGCCCTCCCGTCAATTGCAAATTCCCTTACATTTCCATAGCTATTTCCCCGCCTGACCTGCAGGGGAGGGGGAAGGATTAAGAGCCCACAATCCCATATGCTCAGGCTGTGACTCACACAAACCGGTTAAAGGTGTGCGTGGAGGAGGAGGGAGGGGGGCGCCCGTATTTAATTGATTGCAGCAAAACCAATGAAGTAATTCCTTGCAGACTAAGAACTGGTGCCATCTCAAGTCCTTCTGCAGGGAGAAAGGTGGGATATAGGAATTATATACAGTATTTGGAAGCACTCCTGTCCTCCCTCTGAATGTGATTTCGGGTTCAAGGTTTTCTGATGAGCAGCGAAAAATTTCATTTACTCGGACGTCCCATTCTCCATTTCAGAGGCCTTTCTCTCCCCCCGCCGCCGCTTTCGAGTGACTATGTTTCGGGATCGGCCTACCAATAAAGCGATCCGAACCGGACACTTCGCCGCTCTCTTTAGCCGTCGGCGTTAAAGCCAGGCTACGCGACCGAAACCTCGACCCGCCCTG